CGTAAGAAGACGTCTTGCGGAACAGAATTTGAGCTTCAGAATACCAGCAACAGGACCGAAGTTAAACGCAAATCATCGTAGAGCAAGACTGCAATTTTCCAGACAACATGTTGGCTGGAATATTGAGGATTGGCAGCGTGTACTATTTACAGACTAGTCCAGGTTTTGTTTATTCAGCTCTGATCGGCGAGTAAGGGTTCTCTGACATCCAAATGAGAGATTTTCACAGTGTAACATTCCTGAAACCACGCTATTTAATGGAGGTTCTGTAATGGTTTGGGGAGAAATTTCCTTGATAGCTCGCACAGAACTCGTCATTGTTCGTGGAGGTACCATGAATAGTGTACGATATATCGAGGACATTTTATCTGAGCATGTTGCCCCTTACACCCGTACAGCGGTAATAATTATATACTGATGCAGGATAACGCAAGACCTCACAGCGCCCATATAGTGCAAGAGTACTTACATGAGGTGGGTGTTGAAACTTTAGACTGGCCTGCAAATAGTCCGGATCTCAACCCCATTGAGCATTTTTTGGATAAAATGGGTAGACGACTAAGAAATCATGATCCCTTGCCTGCCTCCCTTGATGACGTAGCAAATAGGCTACGAGAAATATGGAATGTTATTGATCAAGGCGAGATTAGACATCTGGTTTCGAGTATGGGCCGTCGATGTGAAGCCGTAATTAGAAGTAGAGGCGGAAATACGTAATATTGATATTCTTTAATGTTGGTTTTATTGATTTTGTTCATATTTTTATTGTTATTGTTACAATCGTTCTTTTTACATTTTTTTTTATAATATTTAACTGTATATTTTTTTTAAACAAAGGTAACGCGGTGAAAAACAAAAAGAGAAGATGGGGCTATAGTTTGATTATAAGAGACATATGCTGTTATAGCCCTGTTAAAAATCACCCATAAAGACCAATAGAAAAGCTATTGGGATTTTCCAGCGGTAGCTATATTGGTTTGAATTGGTCTCAATAGTGGTATCTGTACCATGAATCACCAATTCAAACCAATAGCGACACCGCTGGAAAATCCCAATACAGACCGATAGAGACTAATCGAATTTCCCAATAGAGAATGATAGAGGTGAATTAAATGTTAATGGTAATTCCCAATAGAAGAGCTATTTGGATTTTCCAGAGGTACCGTTATTGGTTTGAATTGGTCCCCACTATCCATTTTAGACGTCTATAAGGTAAAAAATTACGTGTTTTGATGGTTAAATAATTTCTCAAAAATAGTGCTGTTTAACATTTAATTTAAATTTTATAAATAGCTTCTGCTAAAAGTAAGTAGTGGGGCCGGGCCCACTGCTTACTTTTCGCAGAGTGGGCCACAGGACGACCTGTGCCCCTCTAAAAATTCCAAAACGCCAAGCGTTTCCATGGCCAGTAATTTTGCCTTAGTAAGGAATCCTTACTTAGCAGTTCAAGGCATTCCACCTTTATAGGCCTATGTATTGTGCTACAGAGGCGAGAGGTATGCATGGGTTGCCTACCTATTGGCGAATTTTGAAAATAAATATTAAAGTGGTATATACCAATAGGGTTCCTTGTACCTACACACCGATAAAATACCAATTCAAACCATTAGTTTATCTATTGGTATTTTCCAGTAAGAAAATTGCCAATAGAAACAAGTGGTCATTTGTATTAAATTGTGCAGGCGCTGAACATTAAAGTGGTATTTACCAATTGAATTTCAATTGGGAATTTCCTGTACTTGTAACTTCTTATAAAAACCAATTCAGACCATTAGGTAATCTATTGGCATTTTCAAGTACGGAAATTACCAATATAAACCAATGCTCATTCTGTTGAGAAACCAATAGGCCCAATAAAGACCAATTCATTCCATTCTGATTTTTTATTGGTTTCTATTTGTCTCTATGGGTGATTTTTAACAGGAAGCTGGTACAACCCACAGGGCGTTTCAAATGTACAGGAAAAAACTTATTATTACTCTTGCACCCTGTATATACTCGAAACTTAAATTTGAAAATATATTTTAAGAAAGGCATCATAACCAAAGAATAAACCTACAATTTAAAACAAACACTACCAAATTCGGTTTGACGGTTCGCGAGAAAATCAACTTTAAAATTGTGGCAAATTTTTAGTGGTGCGTTAAATTTGACGCGAAGTGCATTTATCAGCTGTGGGATGACAGAAGAATTTTATCTTGTAAATTGCATTTAAGCAGTTTATAGACCTCTTGGTTTATATTGCATATGCAATATTTTTTATGTCATACTAGTTTATTATTGTGTTTTTATTTCTTAGTTAGCATCTACATAATAGTGTACTTTATAGCCCGCGTGGTAATAAAGAAACAAAATAGTTATTTGTATACCAAGGCCAAAAAGTGACATATTTTCGTCCGAGTCTAAATTTAATGGCCGAGGCAGAAAGAAGGCGAGGACAAAATAGCACTTTCTGACAGAGGTGCACACAAAATTTTTTAGTCGACCTTCATTAGAAAACTTAAAAAATCGTATTTATTTTTATGCTTTATTGATATCCCTGCTTAAAATACCCCATAGAGACCTATACAAAATAATCTATCGGGCGCTACCGGATTCTATATGTGCATTTGTCCATGGGTTTTTCCGGATACAGCCCGATAGAAAATGTATAGGAAATTACCTATAGGCACACCATAACTTTTACATTTTCCCTATTGAGACCGATAGAAAATAACTCAATGAAGGATATATAGGGATATCCATAGAGCAACCATAAAACATTTGACAAAATTTTATTAAAACCTATAGGGTCCTATAGGGAAAACACTAATTTCTACATTTATGTGTATTTTCCCCATTGAAACCGATAGCAAATAAATCAATGGTGGATATCCCTATAGAACAACCATAAATCTCAACTACGGGTCCTATACAAACCGATACACCCTATAGAAACACCATACATCCCGATACAAATATCTATCGGTTTGAACAGGGTCTCTATGGGGTATTTTAACCAGGGATAATAATTATTTCACTGTGTTTCACTATAGTGAAATATAATATATAATATATGTATAATATATTATTTCACTATGTTTTTACTATATTTGTTAATTTTCTTATTGTTACACCACTGCATGAAGATATTATATTGTTTTTCGTAAAGTTCTGCCGATTTTTTAGGCAGCAATTCTAACCTAGCAGCGTTGGCTTCGTTTGTTATATCAGAAGGGGTGTTGAACATTTCTACATTACTCTCGTCACTGCTGGATATGTTTGTTGACAATAATTATTATAAAATTAGAATACTGACACGTTTTTATTACACTTTACAGTTTGTTTATTTGGTTTTATTCAAAATTCTATTTTGACATTGTGGGTAATGTCAATATCATTATGTAGTAAGTATGTAAAATAACCGATAGATGGCGCCACCAAAGGCGGACAACACCACATACTTCCACACATATACCGCTTATTGACTATATTTTGTGTAGATGACCTTGTTCCCGTTTCTAAGGGGAAATTTGTTCTCGTAGTGTGCCATTTTTCTTTATGCGCATAGTCAGTTCATAAGTGGGGGATTTAAAATATATGATACCATAGACATCACATAACATTAGATTATCTAATTTAGATAGAGAAATTAATACGTCCATTTATGATACGAATTGTCAACTAAACAAAATTTAGGTTATATAAAATTTTTCTAAATTATTTGGTTCCATAGCCTGGGTTAAGTTACAAACATTTTTGTGATTTGGCTTTATAAAAAGCAAAAAGTGGCATAATATGCATATTATGTAAAATCCACTAAAATCTCCTTAAAACAATGGAAAAAAACAATGCCAAAACAATTGGTATACAATAGAAAACAAACAAAATTGATAATTATAATAACCATCTACATATTTATATGTCTACCATAAAAATATTTTGGCTATGATACGATAATCGTGATCAAAATACGATGTTGTCAAATTTTTGCTTTTATAAAAATGCCATTATAAAATCTAAAATATCATCATTTTGTGAGTTTATTATTGTTAAATGCTTTTTTCATACAATTTATATCCAATTTATTAAAAAGTATTTATTATACTTCTTAAATAGGGACAAAAATATGTTATTTTTTTTAAACCGGCAATTCAGCTGACGCATGCGCCTCAATGCCCGGTACCCTGTGAGAACATTTCCCCTACTTTACCCCCACGAAATGGAAACAGTCTCAGTTAGAAATGATTTGTATATCTCTGTATATGTGTGGAAGACTTCCACTGGAAGTATGTGGCGGACAATAATGAAGGCGGACAAAAAAGTGTTATTTTTCGGCCGCTTTTGAGTACTAAAAATCCCCTTTATAGTTAAGGTCGACTAAAAAAGTTTTTAATTAACTTTTTTGTACATAATACTTTAATTTTATATTTTGTAATTTATCAATAATGGTTATTTATAATTTATTAATAACTTTTATTAATAAAATTAATTTTTTGATTAAATTAAAATATTTAAATTGTGGAACGAACTAGTACGACATAAAAGTGTGTATGCACCGCGGGTATTAATAGAATCTGTTACCTTAGAATGACAAGGTTCTAAGTGCAGCTGAACTGCGAAAATGACTTATCTACAATATTGAATTGCAGATAAGCCATTTTCGCTTAACATGGCAACTGCACTTAGAACCCTCTCATTCTAAGGTAACGAGATGTTTTCGGGCTTGTAAGATAGTCGCCTAAATAGCATTTGTACCTAAATATTATTCTCTTAATATCAGTTTAATCTTAATTTAACTGGTTTTCGCAAAGACTTGAATTTTTAAACAAACCTAATTAGGTTTAAACCGTTTATAATTGTATAAAAAGTATACAATAATAAGAAAATATAGTGTTTCCTGTTTTTTAAATAAAACAATGCTTATAAAGTCAAGTATTAACTTTGAATAGGGTAAAAACCAAGAATGATTTTCGGACCACCCTAATATAAACACACTTAAAATGTTTAAAAATACTTACCTGTTTTAGACTTATTTGTGTTTGTTTCAGAAAAAATATCGGTTTGTAAAAAACTCCTAGATAAACATTCAATGCTACTAAATATTTCTCCAAGGGTCCTTATAAGAGGAGAAAAGTTTTCTTTTTTTTTACAATCAGCAATAAGGTCCATAAGTATATTTTCATTCAAAAATAATGTTTTTGCTGTTCCTAAAATTATTAATTAAATGAAAGAAAAAAAATAAGTACATATAAATATATCTAGGACAATTACCCAAAAATACAAAAATGCGTTAGTACTAATTTTTGTTACTGTTTACCTACCTAAAAATTTTACTTTCAATTGAACGTTTTGGTTTGTTATATTTCTTATATAAAGGGATAAGAAGCAAAACCGCCCAAGTTGCTAAATAAGTATTGGTGAGAGAATAAAGTTTTGTTTATTTTAAAAATGTCCATCAATAAAATAATTGTTTTGCTCATGATTGTAAAAATTGTTATTTTTGCAATGAAAAGACTTTAGGAAACCAAAACAACACTTCGCTTTGGCATTAGGCGTTAGGAAGTTTGGCTAATTCATTTATAATAATAAACACACAATCTAATGTTAACATCGTTAAAATATGTAATTTGTAAGAGTTTTGTCAAAAATTAATATTTTAAATCCTCATAACTTTGTAACTGTAAAAAAAAATAAAAGGTCATTAGAAAATTGATTTCTATTCTGTTATATAAAAAGTTCTTTCAAGACATTGAAAACTACAAACATTTTGTATTTTTTTATAAATTTTAAATAACTCCCTATTGTAAATGACCAATAGAATCCAATAAAAATAAGTAATTGGTTGGAAATGTGTTTTGGCGCTATGAATAACCAATTCATTCCAGTTGCATTCCTATTGGTAAGTTCCAATGAAGTCAGCGGCTTGGATTGGCAAATACCAATCCATGCCTATGTTTGTCTCTATAGACTAAACCCAATAGAAATGCACATGAAATGAATTAGTAATTCATAGCGCCAAACCCATTCAAACCAATTTATTTTTTTAAATTTTAAATTCAAAATAATTAAGATCCCAGAAGAATAACCAGGTAAAAACCAGAATTCATTTTTCACAGAAGATACAAAAAAAATATTATAACTGAGTAATAAAAAATAAATAGAATTACTCGGTTATAATCATTTTTTTGTCTTTCTTGCAAAGGAAATCAATATTATTTATGTCAATTTTTTTTTATTTTGTTTGCTGTAACCACCATTCTCATGCCATCGTCCCTAAACCTTACACATATAAACATTTTTTTAAGATAAAAGTACACTACTATCAACAGGCACTTAACACAGAAATCGACTAATAAAAAACCGCTAATAAATGGCGTCCAAAGACTTGTTTGTGATGTTTTTCTTTATGATGGCGCACTAAGGAATGAAATGGCAAAAAGGCGCGCGTTAAGGCAATTTAGTTTTACGAATAAAAATTACTAATTTGCGTAAAAAGTATTCCTAATAGTCTAACTAAGCTATTAGAATGTAAAAAAAATGGTAGGCTCTGGGTGGCGTCAGGTCACGCCAAGAAACTTCAACAAGTTGTCAAATGCTATAATAGCTTCTATTTTGAATTTAATTTTATTAAATAGTCTTGTCGTATTTCTCAATTTTTTTAAATCTTTTAATAATGGTTGATGTTGATAAAGGTAAGAAGATTTTATATTTACTTGGACAATTTGAAAATTTTGTTCATAACAAATATTGAGCCTATAATAATTGAATGCTTTTTTTGAGGAATATTTACGCATACATTAGACTATAACTTTTGATGCCGGTTATTGCCCGCGGAAATTTTGTATTTTCTAGTTAAATAAGATGTTTGGATAAACAAAAATTAAAACATAATTACCGAATATTGCCGAATTTAGAAGTAATCCGTTGTCAAGTGACTGTACTTTGCTTGACGACGTGACTGGCTAACATACGACTATCAACACAGATCAAACCGCTGGGTCTAAAAACTTGAAATTTAGCATAGGAATTTCTTATTCAATAAAGGCAAGTACAAAGACAAACTTTTTTTTAATTCCACCCTCAGGTACCCCCCTGAGGGTGTTAATGTATGTTATTCATTTTGTCAACTTTATTGGCCTTAAATGAAGCATTAAATTAAAACTATAATTTCATTTTTTGACATAGTCTTTTATCAAGTGCACTTTGAAAAGATTTTTTTAAATTACAATATACAGGGTAATTCAAAAAGACGCTGTGACATAGCATAACGGTTCATGTTTTATCTTTTTTGTTTATATATATTCTCTGATTTAGAGCTAATAATAAAATCGAATTAAATAATATTGATTAAAAACAAAATGCTACACTTCCAGTTTTTAAAAATTCGCAGGAGTTTGTTGCTGAACTTTTCCTCCCACGATCTTATTTAAGAGTCGTGCTCGAGAGTGTTACAGGGTGAGAGGGCAAAATTTAGTATTTATTACCATATAATAAGATAAAGGCTGTGTAAGCGCATTTCATTTAAAATAATTTTTTAAATTCTTATTTAGGGGTCTATTTATAGTACAAGATAAAAGGTTATGCAAATAATTCCGAAAAATCATTTTTTTAATTTAAGATTTGTTCTAATTTTTTATAGATGTAAGTCGGATGTACGCCTTCGAAAATTTTTATAATTGTGATAAAAATTTTTTTATAGAAAATGTCCAAACATATTTAAAAGGCGTATTGCCAACCTTGAAAACTTCGGCTGAACTGAAAATAAAGGGTGCGATTCGTCGTATTTGGGACAGATATTCAAAAAAACAGGAACCGTTTAAAGTCTCTCCTCAAGATGCCTTAGTCCGCTACCTTAATTATGATCTTACTAGAAGTTCATACATCCAGCTTCGTAAAGATCACATAAATTATATACGATACCCGGGTTGGGATACCCTATCAATAGAAAAAAAGTTATGTTATCCAGATGGAATCACGATAAATGAAGAAGAAGCCACAGTTAAGTTGCAGTCGATGGCGCGTCACACAACTGCTCGACTTGCGGCATCTCTACCTGCCTCATTTCCTCCTATCGCGACAGTTCTCTTTAAATGGGGATTTGATTCAAGCTCCATGCACAACCTCTATCGACACTTAGCTACAAGTACAGTAAACCTGAAACACATTTCAGAAATTCTTGCTACTAATATTGTTCCAATTCAAATTAAATCCGATGATCAAGAAATCATTTGGCAGAACAATAAACCCGGATCAACGCGATTTTGCCGGCCTCTACGAGTAGCTTTTGAGAAAGAAACACCAGAGACGTCTAAAGTGGAAATGGAAAGAGTTAAGGATGAAATATCTTGCATTTTACCCGATGTTATTGGAGAAACGACTTTTCACTACAAATTTATTTTAAGTAGGTATGCTAGATGGAAAAGCAATTAACAGCATTACAGATACGAAATCGATGATGACATGTTTTATTTGTGGAGCTAAACCAAACGAAATGAATGATATAGATCGTGTAAAAACGCGTTTGTTAAATCCTAGCTTCCTGGAGTTCGGGATAAGCCCATTGCACGCTTATATACGATTTATGGAATGTCTACTCCATATTTCCTATCGAATTAATACTACAGCATCTACGCTTAATACCGAGGTATGGAGAAAGGATACGAAAAGGTACCCGGAAGTTGCCGAAAGGATACAAATACAGAAAAAAAAATTTAGGAAAAAATTCATAAGGAATTAGGCATAATTGTCGATGTTCCAGAACAAACTGCAGGGACAACAAACAGCAGCAATTACCGGAATTGATGAGGAATTAATACATCGTTATCACATCATTTTAGTCCTCATAAATTCCAGCAATTGCGAGATTGATGTAGATGCCTTTGCTCGTTACACAGAAGAAACTGCAAAACTGTATGTAAAAAAATATAACTGGTACAAAATGCCTGCAAGTGTACATAAAGTTTTGATCTATGGAAGTTTAATCTGGGCATCTTCAACGGTTCGTCTAGGCTTACTCAGCGAAGACGCACAAGAATCGAGACACAAGGATATTCGATACTTCAGGCAGTATTTCGCAAGAAGAACGGGGTTCAAGGACAACCTCAGTGACATTTATCATCGTTTACTCTTAACCTCAGATCCTTTAATATCATCTTTAAGAGAAAACAAAAAAATTTCTTCTGACTTGCCCTCGGAAGCAAAATGCTTATTAATTCAAAAAGATTCATATTCAGAATCAACCGATTCAGAAACTGATTCATAATAATTAAATAATTTTGTTTTTTTATAATAGAATTTGTTTTTTCTTATTGATTCTTTAGTTACTATTCAGAAAACCCGTTTTTATATTTTCTATTTTAACGTTCGTTCCAGGTGCTAATAATTAATAATAATAATAATTATCCATTTTAGTGAGACATCCTGTATAACCTAAGTAAAATTAAAAAGTAAAGGAAATATATGTTTAAATATGGTCTTATTTTCTATGATTTTTTGCTTTTATTTTACTCTTGCTCAACTAAAAGAGCAAAAAAAATACAAAAAATTATCATGATTTCGTACCACTTTTCAGCAAAGTGGCAACTGTTTATTTATTATATTTGTATTTAGGAAAATACTAAATCTTTTTCAAGAATTTTGATTCCAAAATCTTTTAAATCGAATCAAGAAAGCCAAAGATATAAAGAAAAATGGCTCGCGCGCGACTTTTTACCGTTTCATGCCTTAGTGTGGCGTCTCAACCTCGTTGGTTTTGCGCAGCTACACGAGAGCCCTATTGCGATATTTGTATTGTATTGGGAATAACCAATTAGCAGATTACTTTTTATCGGAAGTTTTGGGTACGTCCAGTCTCTTACTTATTTGGGAAAATTAAAGCGGATATACTGGGTACGTCCCAAGGACGTAATTGCATTGTATTTCCAAATGGTCTAAGTGCCAAGTTGGTTAAATAATATATTATCATTTAAAAATAGTTTATGTCCAAATGGTCTAAGTGCCAAGTTGGTTAAATAATATATTATCATTTAAAAATAGTTTATGTCATGCAGACTGACTTAATAGTATATTCTGTAACAAGTTTTGCATATCCGCTCGAGTGAAGAGTTTGTCACACGAGCCGAAGGCGAGTTTGACGGTTTCAGGAGAGCGGAATATGCAATTCCAAACGTGTTTCAGACATTTACATGTGCAAAATATTTGTTTTTCA